AATTTGTTACCGTGACTATATTTTTATAATATTCAGCACTACTTTAGTTTCTATTACTTTGTAAAATTAGTTACAGGTACTTCAATTGCAAAAGTTGCCAAATTTATAGTTGCTGGAATTATTTTGTTTTCTATCAGTGTGACAGAGACGAATAATTGGACATAAGTACGTTTTTGTTATTAAAATTTATTGGTACAATATTATGTTTCATATTTTATAATTTTTGTTATTAATATTTATTAGATAAACACAAAGAAAATATGAATATTTTATACGCGGAAAAAATATTCTAAATTTTGGTAAATAAATATTTATTTGAATAGTACCAAAACTAATATATATATATATATAATAATAAAAAGTAATAAATATTTACTAAATATGAAGATATATCTATTTAGTACACAAGAATCATTAATTTGTTTTAACAGTCTTTTTTTATTGAATAAATATTTATTTACTGTAAATAAACGTTTAGTTGGCACTGTTTAAATAGATATTTATTAAATAGATATTTATTAAAATTTAGTACATTTTTTTAACAAATAGTTTGCATTTATTTTTAACTGTTTAATTAATTAATTGTGATCGAAACTGACTGTGTCACACTTAATGCTAATTTGAACAACAATTTTTTTTACAAAGTAAAAATTTACAAGTGTAGTTTAAGATCAAGTGGAAATGAAGATCAACTTGTGATTTAACTTCTATTCTCTTGAACGAGGATGCAAGTGCATTCTCTAGCATCCTCCTGGAGTGCCTGCTATCAAAATCCAGGAAGTCCTCGTCAAGTACAATCGTCCGAACGATTGTCTCACAGTACGATCGTGCCGGTCTATCCCTGATAGTTGTACGCCTATTGCCATATATTATCATCGATATTACTCTAATCGTCTCTATATATTGATGTATGTTCGATTATAAACATCGGCGTAGTTGATGCGTTATAATCACGAGACGAACGATCAGCGTCGTTACAAGATGCAATTTTCTACTTATAGGGAAATTAGCATCGCGTAACGGACACAATCAAGGACGTGGCATTAAAATGCAACGCAAAATGCAAATACGATTTTGTTGTCGATATGTTACACTACTACCGAGCGACACGAGGTCGGAGAAAGAAAAATCTATCAGGATGTAACGAGGTATAATGATAAACGTCTTTGATAATGAACGGAGGTCTCGTTTTCTCGTATGTTATGAAACGTGTTTGTATGAGGGGAATTGCATATATATCTCAAAAATTGGTTCATTCTAGCAGATGTATCACTCATTTGCTATAACAATAATATAACTCAAAAATTGTGATTTTTTTAGTTGCTTGCAAAAAAGAATGAATTAACATAAAAAAGAAAAGAAAAACATACTTTGAAAGTATTTTTATTTCTCTATAATCATTTATTACATCAAAGTTGCATTTCAAAATTAAAATTACAGAATTTCAATGATTTAAAATATTCAAACTCATTTTCTGGAAAACTTCGTATTTTTTACTTGTGACGTTGTCGTTATAATAAATCAACTATATGCTGGCGCTTTAAATAGTGTATTCATCAAACTGGAGCAATTGTGATCAATGGCGCGCGGTTTCATATATTAGAGATGTAATGAATGGAAACTGTATACAAGATGCCTCATTTTATTATAACGCATTTTAATAATAAATCTTTTGGTATAAATATTCCTCGGATTGATACGCCGAGACACGAATAATTTCTCAAATCAGAAATAATTGAAAAAATAAAAATCTTTTCATAGATTAAATTTATATTAAGATAGATTAAAACTGAAAAACTAAATAAAAAATTACTTACATAAAAATTACCTATTAATGCACATTGAGAAAAAGATATACTTCAAAATTTATTTATGAGTAATATATTTATCTCACTAAAATATATTTTTAAATATGGTGAAATAAAATTTTATTCTTAGCAAATAAACCATATATTTTATTATTTACAATTAATGAGATATATTTTACAAAAAAAATATTTCGTTATCATAATTAAATTTTTTCATAACTAATAAATATCGAAGAAAACGCCGTAAATAACATTTGCTTCGCAATATTTCGATTCATTTTTCTCTCAATACACATGGCTAAGAAGATATCTATATCGAGCTCGTTAAACAAAACCCATCATTACGATCATATAGAAGTGAAATGTTATCCATTCGGAAAATATCGAAAACAATAAAATCGTACTAAAACACTTACCATAAGTTGCTTCGATAGGCGATCCAGAGTGACGACGCATCGATCCAAAATCAAAAGTTTACGTTATCCAGCTCACGTGTGAGTTTCAGAGTGACCTCTAGAGTGGAAGTATCACTGTGCCATTTGGCGGAGGACGCGTTGGGATCCACCGAATGTGGTGTCGGTAGATGCAGCCGATATCTGGTGGAATCGCGACTAGTTTTATGCGTCGGGCAGATTTACAGCCTTGTAAAATTGTCAAAAAGGGGTAGACGCTCAGTTCCATCGGAATCAAACGTGATTGCGACGGCAGAGGCGAGCTTCGCTCTCCTTCTGTCACGCGGATCACACTAATAAATTCCCGGTCGTGGTCACCTCACCTTGGACTGCGCACGTCAATCGCCTCAGATTCCACGGAGAGCTCGACTTTTTCCCGCATTTCCTGGGGCAATTTCACCAGCACCGACAGCCACTCACAGGACGCCGTGCTCGGCGTTTTAAAGCCCATCTAAATAACAATTCGTCCGTCTTCAAGGCCGCGATTCACACGTAACGTGTCCAGTGAAATAAATTCTCTTTCCGCGAAGTCACCGGCTTTGCGAGAGAGAATAATCAAGAGATTCTAGACATGTGTTATCTTGGCCATATTTCTTTACGGTAATCTATTTTTCCAGGAAAATTGCATACATTTTAATTTTTAAAGCGCAATCCGAGACCAATGTATATATTTTCATTTTTTAATTAAGAAATCAATGTATTATGGGCTCGAAATTTTAAAACGAAATAATTAAAAAAGGATTACGAGTCAAGCAGGATTGTCGTGCTGTAAAAACAATATATTCTTCATTTACATCAAAAACGTTTCGACTCACATCTTCAGTGTACATACTTCAAATTGGTCAGTATATGATAATTTCAGATATTAGTGGCTAATTATTTAATGTCTAAGGAAGAAACAAGCAAATCGTTATCGTTAACAAAGAAATAATCGCAAATGAGACAGTTTGACAGATACATTTGAAAAATATTGTTAAATTTATAACACGACTATCCTGCTTGGCTCGTAGTCCTTTTTTAATTATTTCATTTTTTAAATTAAATTAGCATCTTATTGTTTCATTTCTTTACGTTTTTCTTCGTTAGTTTTTATTGACTTTGAAGCATGGAAATTTTATTGACTTGCAGCATGGAAATATAATATATAAATTTTGGTCTTTGAAGAAAATACCGATTTATCATTTATTTTATTTTACTTATTCTTACACATAAAATATTCTCGAACTTTCAAAAAAATACAATACAGAACTTGAAATTGAATGATCCATCATTTCTCATTAAATCTACGATAAGAATAAACTACGATATGTATAAACATATAAGAATATATATAAGAATGAACTATGTATAACATATCATTATAGTTTAGTCATATCATAGATTTAATGATAAATGATGGATCATTCGATTTGGAGTTCTGTATCTGTATTGTATTTTTTTGAAAGTTTGAGAATATTTTATTTGTATAAGCATAAGTTAAATCAAATATGTAGATGTTAAATCTGTACTTTTCTTCAGAGGTGAAAATTTTTGTATTTATTGTATAATATGAGCGTTTCATAATGCTCAAAGTTGTATCAAAGCCTTATTTAATTGTTACCAAAAAGAGACTCACTCCTAAATAAACATCTTCAGCTGTCACTGCCTGTTTAAACTTCATCTCGTATTCGGGCACCTTTCTAGGGTCGTAATCCTGCAAGCTCTGAGTGTCAACCGCCTCCGAGGGATGCCAAATATCGTCACCTTTGCTTTGCAGGAGTGCATGAGGTCCCAAATGATCCTGGGGAGGATCACTCGGCGTGCCAATATCACTAGGTCCTTACAGGCAAATATTTTATTAGCCATCTTCTTAATCATCTCGTTTTTGCCTTTCGCACAAATCTCCCGCACAAATAATGACTAATAACGTTACATTGTCTCGAGAATAACGCATGATAACATCACCTGGAGGCGGCGCGTAAACTGCTTAACGGTAATTTAAAAACGGATGTGTAACGATGATTTATAATTAAACGTAACTGCGAATTGAGAATCGCACGAGTCCTATTAAAATTAATGATTGACAGCGCGAATATAACTTGCAATGCGGTTTCATTGGGTGCTGCATCGGATCATTTATAAAGCGTTACGTCGATAATATTACCGGTTTGCGAAGAGGAAATCGAAATATGCTTATAAAACTCGCGGTACACGTTTAATTCTCAGCGCAATTACGTATTACGAACCTAATAAGGGGGAGGATGTAATTCTGCTATAGGCGTATTCAGAGGATTCATCCTCCCCGCTAAATTGTTTTTATTTTTTCATTTTTAATTAAAAAAAAATATTACTTTTAACTTTAAATAAATTTTTTGTTGTCACATAAGATATATATTTTTTCCTTTCCGTTATGATCATGTAGATAATTTTTGAAACTTTTATTAGTTAAACTTTAACAAAATATCATAATTTTAATAATATTTAGTAAAGTTTCTCATCTAGGAGGCCATTCTCTTTTCTAAATTTTTTAAAATTTTTTTTCTCAGAAAGATAATCGTGAATATTTTGTATGTAATAATATATAATAACAATTGCAATATTAAAGAACTATACATTTAATTTTTTATATAAATGTATTTTACCTATATTGTTGTCAGAAGAAAATATTTAAAAGTTATGACTTATAAATCTTAATATTTTTCCTATTCAGGAAGAAGATATTCTACGTTCTAAAATATTTAAAAAAGCGATTCATTAATGCAAAAAATGCTGTTTATACGATAACAAAAATCAGAATTGAAACTCCCCTCTCCGAAAAAAATCTTAGATACATCCATGAATTTTACGCTATCTACACGAAATACTTAAGACAAAAGCATTATAAAAAATTCTCTTTATATCATTTCGTTGTCGCAAGTTTCAAGTTTGCGAATGTATTATAAATAAAAAATGCAAATTAAATAATCAAAAATACGCGAATAATAAACGCTCGCGCATGCGAGTGTGTATGGAACTGTTGTATTTGCTAATTAATTGCGTTTTCGCCAGGCTAAATAATATCCCAAACAATACATCGAATTAAACGTAACGATACAATGAGATTTTCAGTTCGGAAATACATTGGGCTTCACCCGGCTTGAAATTGCACAGGGGAAATTAGCCATCGTGCGACGCCGATTGTTTTAACAGCAACAATTTTACCGGGTGTATCTCCATAATTAATCAGTCGTAAAACGTAAACTCACCCAACTTCCTCGCACCCGCCTGCGGTAGATCATTCTCGCTGTCGGAGTCGTCCTTCGATGGACAAATTAAATTTTGGAGAGCCTGTAAATCTGCCGGACTGAAATAGCCGTCCATCGCGAATATTATATACGCACGGAATATTACCTGAAGCTCACACTTTCTCTGCTACAACATGCTACATCGCGTAGCCCGCAACAACAAATTAACGTCGCTATGGCGACGAACTCGCGGTTACCTAATAAGGTCGATTCGAAATTTACTCGGTCGAAAAATTCCACGCTTGACGTTGCGCGGCGTCGAAACTATTTATCTATGTATTAAATTGAATATGTAACAGCCGTTCTCTCGATCGGAGAACAATTTCAATCGCGTATTATGAAGACGAAAATAAAAATGGTCGGACGCCATATGGCTGTAGTACGTTTGATGATTTTTTTTTTAAATTTAACTTCAATAATTTTTATTGTGTAATTAAAAAATATATTCATATGTATGTATATAAGTATATATATGTACAACGTAAAAATAGATAGAATATAAGCAAAACGTGATAAATAGACATGAAATGAAAAATTAAAGGCAATATTCATATTCCAATCTTATATTTAAGATTGTTTTAAGTTTGGTCTCAAGACTTTATTTAATGAAATAATCATACAGTATTTCGAAATTATAAACGATGTAAACGACTTAAGACGATCTTAACTATAAGATTAGATTATAAATATCGACCTGAGATTGATTTCAAATCGCAAATTTCGATTAACTTAATAATCTGTGAATTACGCGAATAAATTATGATTAATTTATCGAATAATATTTGTACATATAACATACTCTATCTAAAAAGTTATACGAGCGATTTTTTCTTGAACAAGTAATGCCATTTTCTTGAATAACTATGGCACCTTTTAATTAGTACCAATATTAAATTATTTGTATTGATTTTCTTTTACGACGTTACAAGCAATGACTGCGTTCAGCAGAAAAAGCAGCTTTGCAACTGTTGTAAAATCCTTGAATATGATATTGGTTTATACATTTAGATCCAATGAGGAACTAAGAGCAAGACCAATCATATTAGAGAATTTTATAACAGTTACTGCATAAAAAGCTGCTTTTTCTGCTGAACGCAGCCAATGTTTCAAGAATCACATATGAGTTTCGTTAGATTTTTTCCCTTAGAAAAATTTTCGTAACAGAATAGCGTGTTGTCAAATTTTATCTCAAAAATTCAAACCTGGGAATTGGGCAACCTTAGATTCGTATTTTGAAACAAATTTTGTTTTAAAATTCATACTTGGATTCATCTCAGGGGAAGCAAAATCAATCAAAGTAAAGGCGACAAAATCCAAAATCAAGTTGGTCGCTTTCTTTGATACGGATGATTCTTTGATCCTCGAAATGAAAAATTCAAATATAAGGAACGCGTTTTGATATTTTGGGCATCTAGACGAATTGACTTCGAAATAGCCTTCAATATGACAAACGCATTGAAAACTATTTTAAAAAGTGACTTACACTGTGCAAAAGCTTCCAACGGTTAAAAGACATTCTGAGCATTGAAGTCAGGAGGAACTATGTTGTGTGTGGTTTTAATAACTTTATTGTTTTACATATGGAAAGGAAAAAGATTACGATAACGAATTACGATAATAAAATGCAAATATATTTATATATAGTTATAAAAATTTTATCATAAGTAGTTTTGCTGATTAAATAATCGTCGATTAATCCTCCGAAACTGACGCCAAAATTTGTAACAGTTACTTTGTATGACGCTTTGTATGACCTATTTAATTTATGTTAATTAAAAGGCACTAATTAATTTCAAGGAACTAAAATGACATAATTTCATATAAAAAAGAATATAAATTATAAATGCTTATTTTAATACGACTAATCTAAATTTACAGATTAACATATAAAGAAAATTAAATTGATATTTCTGACAAATTTAATATTAAAAAATTAAATTATTTAACATTTTTACGACAAGATTTATAATTTAGTGGGTCTAATAGACCCACTGTCAGCTCCGAAGGATTAAATTAATCCCGAGTTTGAGTAAAGTCACTCTCAAAGTCTGCGCTTCTGCCAATTAAATTTTATGGTAAGCATCCCTCATAAAAAAGAAAGCTTTTAAAGAGTCTTCAATGTAGGAAAATGTGAAAATAAAAAAAAATAAAATTTAAGAAATTTTTAATTAAATTATACGATGTAAAGAAGAACGACACTTATGATCTTTAAATAGATTTCAAGAGACCGAATGAGAATAATTCATCTAAAAAAGAAATGTATTTTGCATGTAAAAATTATGTATAATATATTCAATCTTATTTATTCAAGATTGTTTAAATAAGCATTTGAGACGTTATTTTATTACGATTATTTTATAGAAATAGTTTCGTAATAAAATTTAAAACGATTTTAAATATAAAATCAGTCTGTGAATATCGATCGGTGTTTAATTCGTTTTTTAATCACATTTAAAAATCTATCTGCAACAAAAGATCTATCGCATACGTGATAATAATTCGAAACACTTGTCGCTTCCTGCGGAAATTGCGTTCCGATCCATCGCAATCGCTCGCAGCGAGAATGAGATGCATCTCACGCACTTTAATCGAGGAACCTGAAATCTGAAACCAAAAAACGCGCAAAACGTCTCCTGTGCGGTGTGCCGCATGTGCGATCACGTGCAGTCGGACCAACGTAACGGTGTCCAGTGTCGTTGAGGAGGAAAGTTCCATGATAAAGACAAGGGTATGCTCTTGCGCATCGTAACGCCAGACAACCAATGGCTGCGTTCAGCAGACTCAACAGTTTTGCAACCGTTTTATGATTGTCTGCTGAGATAGGACCATTCTTCTAGATCTAAAAGTATGATCCAATTAGCGCGAAGGAAACTTCCAACAGTTGCAAAACAAACGTTCTGCTGAACGCACCCAATGGCTGCGTTCAGCAGACTCAACAGTTTTGCAACCGTTTTATGATTGTCTGCTGAGATAGGACCATTCTTCTAGATCTAAAAGTATGATCCAATCAGCGCGAAGGAAACTTCCAACAGTTGCAAAACAAACGTTCTGCTGAACGCAGCCATTGAGAATTGCAGCCAGATACGTCATCATTACGCGGCAAATTCAAATGGTTAAAAATGAAATAAATCACGATAGCGTCAATACATTAAGATAAGGAAAGGATTTTATGAAAATGATGAGTGATAAGTATAAATTTGTGATGTCACAATTCGTTTATAACATTGTATTCGACAATACTAATGATTTTTATCATAATTCATATTTACTTCATTCCTGCATACTTCACGCCACTTTGCAGCAATTTTTTCGTCTTTTGGAAATCTAAAAAATTTTAACGTTTTCTTTTTCATTTTTCGGTAACTATTTTTGCACCCTTTCACTGCACAAGCATTCATTGCAGCCAAAATTTTTATTCAAACAATAAGTATATATAATAACTGTTTTCGCGAGAAAACAGAATTTCCACAACGTCACGCGTAGCCATATTTTAGTCGGCCGAAGTGGTCCGAATGTAACCGAGATTACACGAATGTGACGTAAGCTGGCTGCTACGCAAAGGTTTTCTAAATTCATCCATCGGATGAGCATACCCTTGTCTTTATACCATGGAAAGTCCTATGTATAACGAGAAGCGACATTGACGTCCGAGTTTCTGATTGGCAGTCTGATATGTATTTTGATTAGGTATCCCCTCCTAAGTGAAGTAGCCATATTGTGACCAGCAGTTATATAAGCCTTAAGTAATTGGCTAATTTTTTTACAGCTTAAGGCTTAAAATATCTATTGTAGATCTAAAGTAATGAAATACAGAGCTCACTCCGCTAACGGAGTCAACGGAGTACAATGGCTGCGTTCGGAAACACCCGAGTGCTCTCGGGTATCGTCTTATCCTTGTTTAACACTAGGTGAATAACAAGGATAAAATACACGGGGACATTCGGATGATGTTCCGAACGCAGCCAATGTTGGTGGTTGGAGTATGTTTAGTTTACGACACTGGAGTGATCGAAACATGGCGGTGTAGGGAGTGATGGTAGGGATCCGATCTGGACCCCTATTCTGTAACTGTCTTTACACGCCCACTGACAGTTGTCGGTGTCGTTGCGCAGATATTTTATATGATGAAAAAACTGCGCAACGACACTGACAACTCGGTAGGCCTGTAAAACAGTCACAGAATAGCGTCCCTGGGCCTCTATTCTGTAAGTCCGGATCTACAATAGGTGT